ATAATCATATACAGTGTATATTGACAAAATAAAAATTTAACAAAAAAAAATAAAAATAAAATAAAATAAAATAAAATAATACCACATAAAAAAAAAAAAAAAGAAAAATGAATGTGCCAAGAGAGTTTTCACATCCTTATTTGTACACTGCCTTGGGCAGGTTGTATGTTGGATTAGTAACAATTGGTGACTATTTGATTTTATGTTTTATCAGGAGCTACAACTATAGAGAAATATGACCTCAGAACAAACTTGTGGATCCAGGCAGGGATGATGAACGGCAGGAGGTTGCAGTTTGGTGTGGCTGTTATTGATGACAAACTCTTTGTAATTGGTGGTCGAGATGGCTTAAAGACATTGAACACTGTTGAATGTTACAATCCCAAAACCAAGACTTGGACTGTCTTACCGCCGATGTCAACACATAGACATGGTCTAGGTAAGATCTCTTATTTTATTGGTATTATATTTAAAAACGCTTTATTGACAATGTAAATATATGTTAAAATTTAGTATTAATGCCATAAATTCTCATTACCTTTAAGTAAATCATGAGCTTACTTGAAGCATATTTTTTTAAAGTTCCTTGTGTTGACCAATGTTCATTAAAATGTTGAGAGAGATATTAAAGATCCCCAAATTACTAGACTTCAAGCTGTGCTAAAAGTTTTCACAGTCTGACATTCATAGAGTATGTGAAATTTGATATAAAAAATAAAATGCCATGGAGAGGCCATACAGACTGAGTAAAACTTAATTAAGGTGGCCCCCTCCCATATTACTGGATAAATAAATCTATCTGTATCTTTACACTCAGTTGATTCCACCTTGAAAAATTCATGGGGAAGAGGACAAGCATGTAAAGATTCATCTGTTCTCTCCTATGGAGTACCCTGTAGATTAGGGAGAACTATATTTGGATTCAGAAGATCTGGGTGTGAGTCTTGAATTTCTACTTTCTATTTGCATAATTTAGGACCAAATCTTAATCTTAGCTTTGATTTCTGATTTGCCACCAATTCAAAGTTATTAAGTAGGTAAAGATCTAATCATTTTAATGATCATGAAATCAATCTGTAAATAGTAAAATCCTACACAATTCTTTTTTTAAAAAATGGAGGAATTTAATAAAGACTAACATCCGTAAATTTATACTTGGTGTCATGGCGATCATAAGGAGAAGTGTAAATTACTTTTTTTGAAGATCTGAAATATGCCAGAAAATTGACTAAGTGTTTTTCGTATATTTATAATACACATATTATAGAGAGATCAGGGTTTAATTGCAGATCTGCAGATTTAGATATTCATAAGCAAGCAAAGTTATTGAGCATTTCAAAAACAAGTATTAATAATCTTTCAATGTTGAGGTTTCCAGCACTGTATTTCCCAATCATTTCTTCCATAAATCCAAGCAAAAATAGAAAATAGATAGAGATGGGTAGATACATAGACAAAATACTTCTGAACTAATGAAAGTTACCTTTTTGATCTTTATGAAGCTGGCCCACCTCATTTTTCTTTAGTTTGCTCATTAGTTAATTAAGAAGTGTTAATAAATATCTGAGAATATTTTCACAGTTTTAAGATTCTACATTTTAAATAAAAGCCATGTAAATTCCTTAAATTACATTGGACCCAATTGCAATATGGAAAACAAACAGAAAATGACTTTTTCCTCCTAACATTCATAACTCAAAGGGTTTCTTATATAAGGTATTTTTTTCTTCCAAATATTTTGGAGAAATTTGGCTTCCATATCTGTGTGCAAACTCTATGTGTTGTTCTTATTTGCCAGCTAGCTAACTAGCTATGTTCCTATTTGAGGAAAGTACAGAGAATAAGTACTCTCGATTGTTTCTTATTTAATTCATTATATCTTTGAAGTTTTATTTTATCTTTTTCTTGCTATCCTTTCCTGATAGAAAACTTTTTAATATGCATCCTTCAAACTGTTGTTAATCTGCGTGCATCGTGATATTTACACCATGTATTGATGTCTTAATTAAGTTCGGTTTTTACAATCTCACTGTCCCTCCATGGTAGTTCATTATAATTGCTTTCTTCTTCTTAAGGATATCAATATTCTCCCTTATCTCTGTAAGCCTATTTATTATTCCTATTTCAAATTCTTGATTACTTTGAATCTTTCTGTATAGGTTATATATTATCATCTTCTCTTTTCTCTTCTTTCTGTTCTTCTTCCTGCATTTCTTCTTCCTATCTTTCTCTTTCTCTTCCGATTCTATTTAATGGTAGTTGTGCCCACTAAAATATGTAGTTTTTTTATGTGAGCATTCATCTGGGCAATATCAGAGAATTTGGCTAGTTGTATGAAGGGCTAAAGCATAAGATTTTCTTTATATCTTCCTAAAACATTCAGGAGTGAGTGAGCAGATGACACCTGGACACAGAGTCGTGACCCTACGAGCTGATATTGTCCAACAAATCTGCCGTTATCCCTACCAAATAGCCCTCAGTAAAATACACATGTATTTTCCATTATTTGCACATAAATCCACTTGAGCTTTTCTTTCTTACCTGTGATTCCCTAACTTTAGGTCTGGTAGCTGAAATAAGAAGATAGTATTCAGGGACAGCAAGTCTGTTTGCTTTGGCTAGTATTAGTTCCTCATGCAAACTGGGTTCTCATAGCATCATGATGTTAGCAAACCTATTCTGGCAAGCTCTGCGCTGGCACTGATGTTTCATTGCCTAGCAGTACGGACAATGTGGTAACTCTTCTTGAGAGAAGAATATGGGGTATTCAAAAGAACACAAAGTTTTCTTTCAAGATATTTCCCCAAGATAGTGCCTTGAATTTTTGTTTCACCCAGGAAGTCACAACTGCCTTCTGCTTCTCTAGTTGTGTTTACAGTCTTGATGTTAGTTTCTCAAATATATACTATGACTCTCCCTTTCTTCGTAATCGGCAGGATTGGGTTTGAGTGTAAACCAACAGCTGGTGTTAGTTTTTTATTTGTTCAGAGACTAGAATGTCCCATTTTATTTGTCATGTAGGTAATCAATTCCTGTTTGTGGTATCAGAAAATTGAACATAGAATACCATATTATACATTCAAATGACAAGAAACTAAAGTGTAAAGTAAAATTTTAAAAATTAAAGAATTAAAACCCAAAATATTGTTTTATTTAATTAAATTTTTTCCTTTGATTTGTATGGAAGAAAAATATCCTTACATGATTTTATGAAAAAGTCATGAGTTATTGAGTTGCTCAAGATGACTGGCCATCAATAAATGGGGAAAGCTCTTTCTGTTGAATAAAATAACATATAAAAATTACATGCATATTAAGTCTGTGACATCAAGGGAGCAATGTATTTGCCTAGAGAATTAAACTAATTAAGACTACAGTTCTCTCAATATGCTATGAATTTTTATTATATCATTTATGTCTTAAATTAAAGCACATAATTTTATATACTATCCTTTTTACCATATTTTATATTGTATAAAATTTAAGAAGACATTACTAAAATACACTGTTTATAATTTAATCTTTTGAGGAGAAATTGGTAAAGAGTAATACAGTGGCTGTTTATTGTGAATTTTCTACATGCCAGGCACCGCATTATATGTTAAATATGAGTCTACGGTAAGGGTTGTTTTGTTGTGGTTCTGACATACTGCAAAATGTTTTGTTTGAACATATATTTTCAGTTCTCGGGTATACAAATAGGTGTGGGATTGTTAAGTTACATGGTAACTCTATATTTCACTTTTGGCCAAACCGTTTTGCAAAAGCAGCTCGTTTGTTTTTTGTAAAACAAAATGGCTGAACCATTTTCTCTTTACACCAGCAATGTATGAGGGTGCAGGTTTCTCCACATCCTTGCCAATACTTTTTCACTTTATTAAAATAATCCTAATATACTCAAAGCAGTATCTCACTGTGTATTTATAGGCATTTCTCTAATGTAATTATTTGAGGATCATTTAATGTGTTTATTGGCCATTCGTGTATTTTCTTTGGAGAAGTCTCTATTTGAAATAACATGTGATTGTTGTCCTTTGTTCTATTAGTATAGTGTAGCACATTCATTGATTTTCAGATGTTAACTCACTTTGTCTTCTTCAGGCACATTCCACTTAGTCATGCTGTATAATCCTTTGCATATATTGCTGTATTTTATTTGTTAGTATTTTGTGGATCATTTCTCGCCCATATGCACAGGAGATATTGGTCTGGGCTTTCCTTTATTAGGATGTTTTTGTCTGATTTGGGTATCAAAGTAACACTGGCCTCATAGAATGAGTTGGAAATATTTACTCATCTATTTTGTGAAATAGTTTGTGAAGGATTGGTGGTTACTACAAAGCTAGGGATGGGAATAAAGCAGGTTAAAACATCATGAAGCTCACCATTCTTATCTCGATTCAGCTGTTTTTCTTGAATAAATGCCTCTCAGATTGTTACAAGCCTTTATTTTTCAGAGTTGTGATTTTGACATCATTTCCCAGTGTTCTCGTTATTTTACAAAACAGTGAATTTTTGGAGGTCTTTACTATGCCATACCTTCCAATGTCACTATAAGGGGTTATTTTTACATGGGTACCATAAGCATGAACTAAGTAACCCATGAGCAAAAGGAATCTCTTGAAAGCCTAAATTATTAGCCTAGAAAGTTGGCTGGAAGTCCTGGAACCTGGCTGAAACCAAGAGAGACTTGTTAGTTAAATTGAGACCAAAATTACGTCCCTGTGAAAGTCTGGTGAGGACAAACATGCTTCCATGGAAGGACACTGGATGCCTCAGCTGGTATTTCTACTTCTACCTATTCTAGATCTAAGAGGTAGCTCTGAGTTACATTACCCTAAAACTACATGTTGCTGCATCATTTGTCAAAGCAAAAAATGCAAAACAAAAACTTCCTTTGCTTCTCTGTTTTGCTCACTCTAGATATAAAGTCCATGTTGGAAGCACATTACAGGCCAAGCTTAGTTTATAGGTCAGGACTTAGGTTTTCAGGGTCAGGAAAAAGAAGTAACTCAACTTATTGTCATCAATAGTGGAAGACAAGCCCTGCTCCTCATGAACACTCATATGTGGAGATATTCTCAAAATAGGAATGATCAGCTACTGGGGCCAGTGGGAAAAAAAATGTTCTACTGTTCATTTGTTAATTAATTAAACACTTACTACTACCTTATAACATAAATATTATTTTTGCCATTTTAAAGACACATACAATGATGAACAAATTGGCCAATTGACTTTCCCAATGTGACATCATTCTACAAGGAAGACCTGGGATTTTAATCTAAGCTTATTTGACTCAAAAGTCATATTCTTTCAAATATACTGTGTGTGCCAATAAATAAGTTATAATTATAATAATAATTTTTTGCCAATAAATATATTTCCTATGATTTAATTTTAATTTATCAATTAAGACTCACTCTATTAACTTACGTA